TATGTTTTCTAAATCTTTGTTCCTTGTTTTCTTTCTGGTGCTTACTTTTGGTATACGCATCGAAATAGAGTTTTTTTTTTTAATGTTTTATGCTTCCGAATTTTAATTGTTTGCTCTGATTTTGGTTGGTGGTTAGTTTTGATCATCATCTCCCACCTCCACCGTCGTCTACCTCCGCTAGGATTGTGTTTGCTGTAATCGCCAATGATTTCCGCTGAGTTACCGTCTTCTCCACTTATACATTTGTCAGTGAATTAATCAGCCATTTCGATGCAAGAAGAAATGAAGGGGCATCTATCAACTACAAGAGCCAATTTCTAGGTTAATATTCATGATTGATTCATCTCTTTCCTATTTTTTTACTTCTGTTAGCAATTTGGGTTTTGACGTTTTCATTTAACAGCCATTAACTGACAGCTCCATTGATTACAGTCGTTGGATTGCTGGACATTCTTATATCTGATGAATGTCTAATAAACGAACAATATGCAACAATTAGCCAAATTCATTGACGTTCAACAACTTTCCTTCGTCTCCCCAACATTATTTTGGACATTAGCAAGGTGAGATTAGCTGAACAATTTATAATTTCATCTTATTTTTTATCCATTTCCAATTATATGATCCACATTAACATGATTATATATGGAATTTGCAGGTTGAATCAGGAAAATTGGTACCGGAAGAAGCTGAATTTAACATGGGAAGAGAACTTGAAGGACTGCAAGATATGTTCACTGTACAGTGCAAAATGCATGATGTGGAAACTGTCATAGATCTCTCTGGTTGTAACGTCCGTAAATTTCACAAAAATTTCAAACTTTTTAAACATTCCAAAAACCATTCATTGTTTACAAATTGTTTTCAAAATTGTTTAACATCAGAGAAATCCCAGAAATCATAACATAAAATGTGAGGAGGTGCACGATCAAGCCTTCGTCTTCCCGCGATCATCTGAAGTACTTGAAACAAAATCCATAATTGTAAGCCCAAAGCTTAGTGAGTTCCCCCAAAATACTGATATATAATAAATAATACACATAATAACAACATGTAATGGGTCCACAACTTTACAGACTGGATTACCCCTGAGCCCACAGTATGAGTCTGGCTTGCCTTACATGCCCACAGCTCATATCTGGCTTGCCCCCCGAGCCCACAGCATAATTCTGGCTTGCTCTTGAGCCCACAACTTATGTCTGGCTTGCTCCTTTAGTCCTCAGACTGGAATATAAATGATTGGCCCTCCGTGCGGTGACCAACAAACCCAAGAGTATGCCAAATATGAGCTGAGGGCCATGGAGAGCATGTCAGACTCATACTAAGGACTCCTAAGCATTCCAGATGCGAGCTGAGGGCCAGGAGAGCATGCCAGACTCGGACATGTAACTGATAAATATACATACAAATAAGCAGACAATATCACAAGTAGTCCTACAGATCTACCAGACTAGCATATCAACTAGCATGTATATCTAACTCATACTCAGTATATCAATAACTACTAGGATATCAATCCAATTGGTCGGCCTTGGTGCCTTCGACCCCTAAGTATAGTGAGGAAACTCACCTCACAAGTAGCACTGATTGTCAAGATCCAACTCTCGAATCACAGCTCCGGACTCAACCGCCTACAACCACCATGTGACTCATTTCATTAAAATCCCAAATTACCAAAAATACCCTTAAAGTCAACCTTGGTCAAAGTCAGAGTCCACAGTCAAGGTCAACAGTCCATGTTGACCCCAATTCGTCGAGTGCATCTCCTGACTCATCGAGTTTCTTCATGTCACAGAAAATCGTGAAAACCTCGAGTTAACTCGTTGAGTTACCAAAGCAACTCGTCAAGTTCTTCAGCATCCAGAAAGCGGGAAAACCCTCACCAACTCGTCGAGTTGGCAGGGCAACTCGTCGAGTTTTCCTAGCCTTAATGCATGCAGACGCTTCCAAGCGAGTCTAATGCTCCAAACTATAGATCTGGTCCCCTAGGACTGAGATATCGCGTAAAGTTGTCAACTTTACGTCCATGCATGGCATTAAAAAGGATAAAACACTCAAATAAGGCTTATCAAGGGACCTATGGCATGAAGGAGGACCAATACTTGATAAATATGGCAAATTTATGTCAAAAGGGGCCATAAAACGTCCAGATCTGAAACCATGGCTTCATAATATGCTCAAATCCAAGAATGGTCCCAAAATAAGCTAATAATGGCCATAACTTCTAAAAGAAGAGATCTAGAAGAAGGGATGATCAAGATAACGACTTTATACCTCCAAGTGGTTGTAACAACACTGAAAATCCCGGATCTAAAGCTTCTCCCTTCAACCTTGCACCACCAACTTCAAGCTCCTTCAAGAAAAGCACCAAAGAACACTCTTTAAGCTCACAAACACTCAAAATGGGGAAAGAGGCGCGATTAGGGTTTTCTTTGGACTAAGGGGACAATGAGGGAGACCACAAATAAGTCATAAGTTATTTAAATAGGGTGAAAAACCCTGAAAATTAGGGTTTCATAAACAGTCGTCAACTCGTCGAGTTGGGGCCTTCCAACTCGTCGAGTAGACCCTGAAAATGTGCGGCCATTGAAACTCTACACGTCGAGTTGAGGCCTTCCAAAAGGGTTAGGTGATCGTCGGTCAAAAGGGTTATGGTGAACACAAACAACAAGTTCGATGATATATTGAGTACAAAAAAAAGGAAAATGATCAAATATGAACAGGCTCAATAATTAGTTACCCCTGAGTCATTTTCCCACTTTCGAATAATGAATTCCAGGAAACAACTATAACCAAATCCAATTAACGCACGCCACAATAAAATAAATAATTCTTGATTGGAGCTTTACTTTGAGGTCTTGTGGGTTTATGTATATCGTTTCCCTATGTATGTAACAAAAGATTATATTATGTTTCTCTTGTTGGAATAAAAATGTAGACCTTTTTGTGGTTATAATGTTATATTATTGTTTAATTAAAAGTTTTTTTTAAGGCGATGATTACAATTTGGCATTAAGATTTTGTTTTACATGTATAAGCTAGCTTATTTTTTAAGTTTATTGTAATTAGGAGTTGTTTGATATGTTTTTTACTGGATTTGGTAAGAGTTATCATGTCTGACTCGATCAGATTCAAACTTTTTGATACCAAAATTAGAAACTTTTGATTTGGTCATATAACCTTTAATTATAACACACATTGATTCAATCGGCTATTTACTCAATCAAATATGATTCAATCACTAATTATCAAACAATCTTTAAATGTTTGCTGAGAAATAAAATAGTTTATTATAAACTATAAATTAATTTTTTGATAAACTATTTGAGATAACTTATTTAAGTTTATAAACTAAAAAATTTAAGATAACTCATTAAACAAAGCTTAAATATGCAAACTTTAATACAGGTTTTTTGAACCAAAGTTGGACTCAAGGGGTGTTGATCGAGTAAAATTTCTGGGTTTCGGGTAGAATGAGTCGGGTAGTTTGGGTATTTCCTTAAAATAATAATACCCGATACCCGACCTATATTGTAATTCGGGTTCTCGGGTTTCAGGTATTCGGGTTTTAGGTCGGCTCGGGTATTTTCGGATATACCCGAAAATTACTGAAGTGTCACTTATTGATTTTTTTAATTTTTTTTTTGCATTTCGGTTGCTTTAATAAAAAATTTGGTAGCAAAATATTTCATACAATTAACAAGTACATATACGATAACAATACAAGTCATTATAATAAGTTATGTGATTTTTGCATTCAATTTCAAATTTTGATAATAAAAAAATAGTTTATAGACTACATGATCAATGTTTGATCAAATTTAGATTAACCAAACATGTTACATGATTTAATGCAAAAGGTGACTACATGAAAGTTATAAATAAATTTTTTTTAGCATTTAACTAAATTGCAGGGACCAATTATATAGTTATATTTCAATTCACAAAGAAGAAATGTAGACTAGTTGACAAAAAATTAAGAAACAGGTGCATAGTTGAAAAAAAGAAACAGATCCGTAGTGCACAAAAAAAATGAAGGGGAATGATCTAACATCTCATTCATGTATATATTCGTTGTAACATTTTGTTCAAAACTCCATTTCATTTTCAACAATTTCTAAATGTATTTACTATATATCGTTAAAATAATGAAGCCATATAACAATTGGTTTAAAGTATAAGGAACAATAATTATGTAAAATAATGATACAATTTTCATAGTTATTATAACTAGTGTATTAATTAGTTTTTTTTTTTTAATCGGGTATACCCGAATTTTTTTAAACCTACCCAATACCCGACCTATTTAAATATCGGGTTACCCGATTACCCGAATTTTCAAACCCGATACCCGATGTACCCGACCCGATCTACCCGAATTCAAAATGGGTCGGATCGGGTAAACGGGTATCGGGTATTTTCAACAGGCCTAGACTCAACAATAGTATATGGGTCATTTACGTAAATTGGTTAAAATTTGGATAATTACGGACCGACTCCACAGAAAGTAACCTAGGTCTATAGAAGTCTCCTGGAAGTCGGGAGTCGCCACCTCAAAGTCCGTCTATATCCGACGCCCCAAATCATCCCTTTTTTATCGATGCTTGACCTACATTCCTATCAATATACCTCTCAATTCTCCTGCGGTTGAAACCCTACAGACCAATTAACCTTTCACTGAATTTCGCCTCATAAAGCCCCAGCACAGTAAAAAAAAAAAGGGTTTATGTTCTTCCTTCTTGAACTGCCAATTTCACAACAAATACGCAAAACCCTTCTGGATTCTACTAAAACCCCAGGAAACCAAACATTGTTTTTCTTTATTTTTGACAGTTGTTTCTTCTGATGAGTTCTATCGTGGGGCTTTTTAAGATGGATTTATTTAGGGCAAATTCCAATCTTTTTCAACACCAAAACCCCTCTATCGGTTTCGCCTGAAACACAGGATTTGTTTCTGTGTAGGTAGATTCTTTTATGCTTTATTAAAGTTTAGGAATAAAATGGAGGGTTGTGATCAAAACAAGGTATTTGTGGGAGGATTATCATGGGAGACAACAGAGGATGTGTTGAGAGAACACTTCAGAAAGTATGGAAAGGTTATGGACGCTGTAATTGCTAAAGATAGAATCACTGGTACCTCTCGTGGATTTGCGTTTGTTTCCTTCTCTGAAGCATCGGCTCTGAATGAACTTCTTCTTAATACTCATACGATTCTTGGGAGAACGGTTTGTTTTCTTTAATCGCCCACTTATTACTTCTAATTTGTTTAATCAGTCTGTTTGATTTCTTTAATCAATATATTTGCATGTTGTTGTTTAAGATAATCCTTGACTAAATTGCTTGACTGTTTAATTAAATTACGATAATTCTTTTTGACATATTTTTTCTGATTCTTAACAGGTTGAAGTGAAAAAGGCTGTACCAAGACACGAATACAACCAAAACAGATTAAATAAAAAGGTTAAAACTAACGATGTTGTTATTAGCAACAATAATATAAAAATTAAGAAGATTTTTGTAGGGGGGTTACCTGCTAACATAACAGAAGAAGAATTCAAGGTCTATTTTGAAAAATTCGGTAGAATTACAGATGTAGTTGTGATGCGTGACAACATAACACATAGGCCAAGGGGTTTTGGTTTTATCACTTTTGATTCTGAAGATTCTGTATGAAACAAATACCAAAAGATGATAATGGTGGTGTTGGTGGTGGGAATGGAATCAGCAATTACCTCTCTGGTGGGAATGGAATAGGCAATTACTTTGTTCCTGTTTATGGTGGTTATCCTTATGGTTATTATGGAGGGTTTAACTATGGTTTGGGTCCATGGGGTTACCCATATCATGTGGGTGTTTATCCTAGTTACATGAATAATGGATACGGATTAATGGGTATGGGTGGGATTATGGGGTCTATGTCAAATGGAAAACCGATTCAACTCAGTGAGCAACATGGAGCATCTTCTGAGATTTGTAGATAATTCTTTGGTGAGAAGAGTAGCTAACAAGTAACAAGATGAAGAGGTTAGTGGATTCACATAGCTTTACCATTCTTGTGTGATTAACCTTTTTTAGGTGAATCTAACATATTATAAAGATGGTTTTTTCTGATGTATGATTTCTGGTTTTAATAATTGATGGATTTGGATTTGAATTTATGTAACCTCACTTTTGTGGGAATGTCTATAAGTTTTTGAGTTTTATTATGGGGATTGTTTGAATAAAATCTTGCATGCTGTAAATAGTAAATACTTATTTGAACAATCCATACAAAGTTTAAGGGATTGTTGTTTTAATATTCCACTTTACTAACAACTTCGCCATTTAATTCCTATAGTCTATTGAACACTACAAAGTTAAATAGATTTCCACATCAACATCATATTTCTCATTCAACCATTTCATGGACATTCAACTCTAAATGCATTGTATGCCAATTTGGCATCACATTATGATTGAATTTAGTGCATTTAACTCTCCACCTCATTCAAACCTTCCAATTGAACTATCACGAATGTTTTTTAAAGATGTCAAAAATATGATCAGTTTGTTGAATATGCCTTTCTATTTTGGTCATTTTATGACTAACCCAATTAAATACATAGTTTTAATATTATTTATGCCGACAATATAAGTAACACATTTGCATAGGGAACTTTTTAGTACTTTTGTAATTTAGATAGACACATCATATAAAACTAGGTGTGATAATCTTGTGTTGATTAAAAAAAAGTTAAATATAAATGTGTAACCTTAAGCATTTTTGTAAAGTAAAATTTTAAAATAAATACAAATGGTATGATAAATAAGTAAATAATTCAATCTATACTGATAAAAAAAATTATTGATATATTTTAAATAATTGTGTTGAATCCTTGATGGTGATTTTGTAGAGGAAAAGCTTTCAAAATCAACCAAAGTAATCGTGGTAATGTGATGATGAATGAATTAAATATGAAATCATATATACATTAAATTAAAATTGAATTTTGGAAAGGATTTGTAAGATTGAAATAGGCCAGAAATTGGGTGATTGATAGCGTTTCCTATTAAAATCGATATAAGCAACATAAGATATTTTGGAAAGGATAAAGAAGTAGATGCCAATTTCGAATTTTATACTCAAATTGATGCATGTTATGAGCTAAAAGATTGGAAACTATCGGTGACTTTTTAGAATTTAGAATAAGTAAAGAATAAAAGTATTCATTGCAATTTACTATCATATTAATTGCATTTAATACATCCACCTCCACCCTTACTAATAAAACAATAGTTCACTTGTCAATTTCAAATTCATACACATCAACATTTGTCACGTGTCATTTTGTCAGACATTTTATAAGAATTTGAATATTGATTACCGTTTTTTAGCAAAAAATTATCTCGGATATTGCTTTCCAAAATACCATATATAACGATTTCAATAAATTAAATTCATTTCAATGCATTGAATACATTCTACCCCTAAAAATATTCATCTCTTATAACAAATTTACAGCTTCTAATCCATAGAATCCGGTATTGAGATTTAAATTTTTTATACCATCATCTCTAGATAAGGTAATGTCATAATATACAATCCTTTAAATTAGGTATTTCAAAAAATAATAAAGCCATCCATCTAAAAATCCGGTATCACATCCTCCTTTAACGTGATAAGGCTAATATCTCCCAATATTTATAAAAATTTTGACGATTTGCATTTGATTAATCTACAAATATATAGCTGCATACGATAAAAAGCCTTCACAGTTTCATCATTCGTTCTATTGTTGTTTCATCATCATGTTTCTATTCCATCTGCTAATAAACAATTTCAACACAGTAAGTATTTCATCTGTTTCTTCTTGTTTTTCCTGTTTCTACCTTCTTCTTTTTTTCTATTCCATCTGTTTCTACCTTTTTTTTTTCTATTCCATCTGTTTCTACCTTCTACGTATTGTCCCAAAAAGACAAAAAAATAAATAAATAAATAACACAACCGCTGTATATCACGTAAAATTAGAATATTATTATGGAACTTTTTTGTTTATATTGTTTCTACTCGTTTCATGTTCAAAATTTGATAAAATACCTTTTTACATATCAGAATCCTATACATGACGATTTCCAAAAAATATAATGTATGGATTCTTTCTGTAACTGTTTTATGTCACAGTAACTGTTTCTGTAATAAACTCTCACACGTGGACTATTTATGTAAAATTATGTATCATTAACTTGGGATTCGGTTCTCTAGCATAAAAACATAATAACAAGAACAAGATATACATATTAATTTGTTCAAAATTGTATATAAAAATGTAATATCTTCATTAAAAGTTTGCAACTTTTTGCTTTTTTTTTTTTTTAATTATATCCCAATATTTCAAACTTCGAATCCAAAAATCTTTTTTGTTTCAACACTGATAAACATATTCAATCAATAGTTAAACGTGTTCTTTTTTAATAAATGAAAACTATTTTTCATAAACTAATTACAAAAAATATTAACAGTTAACTACTTTCTATAAACTAATTACCAAAAAAATAAATAATCTCTTAAAATTTTCAAGTCTTTATTTTATTTTATGTTCTCAACCTTGCAATAAAAAAATGCATTTTTTAACAACATTGTCCAATAATAAAGTAATATATTTAATAATATTTAAATACTTATTAAATAAAAAATAACCATAATTATGGCCATAACATATATACAGAATATACAAATCAAGTTTTTTTTTTACAATATCTCTATATAAAGATTCATTTCATCAATAATACAATAAATAGCAATATACTTCAATATTTATATCTAATACTAATATAGCATACATCTTACTTTGAGTTTTATTTCCTTTTTTTTCTTTTTAAGCATTGTACTTTCAAAAGTACAATGTTATATGATTGTGTATGTATTTGAAGTACATTACCATTTTATTGTCAACTTTCCTTTATTGTACATTTGTATTTTGACTTGCATACTTGAACCTTATTCTTCCAAATATTTTTTTATCGTCAAAATTAGTTTATGTTGGTTTTAATTATGGTTCGAATTGCAAAATTGAAAACTAAGTTTGAAATATTGTTGGAAGCTTAGAGTGGGCTCACAAAAAAGTTTATAACACAAAATGATATTTTATTGAACTCACACACACACAGAGAATACAAAGAGTTGTTGTTCTGTTTCTTTCACTCTTATTTTCTTCCTCACACAACTTATATTTCCTATAACAAGCTTCATCTATTTATAGTACTATTTGTACACTGACTTCATTAAATCAAGCCTACCATTTATTCTTGTGTTCCTACCATTCTTCAACATCCAACATCTGACATCAACATTCTTAGACTTCAACAACTTTCTTGGACTTCAACAACCACCTGTAGCAGCTTTCTTTGACAATGTGTTTCCTTTGAAAGTTGGGTTTGTTTTCTAACACTCCCCCTCAAAACCAACTTCGCATGCCAATCATCTTCACCAATTTTTCAAATCTATCTGTCTTCCAAGGTTTCGTGAAAATATCTGCTAGTTGTTCTTCATATACCACAGTGCACTACTTCAACTATTTTATCTTTCACCCGTTTTCGAATAAAATGATACTTTATGTTAATATGTTTGCTTCAATTGTGTGAAACTGGATTCTTCGTGAGTGAAATGACAGATTTATTATCAACATATATTGTAACTGGATCTTTGTTTATAAGATTCATTTCACTCAAAATATTCTTCAACCATATAGCTTGACATGCATATACTGTGACTGCCATGTACCCTGCTTCACATGTTGAGAGGGCAATTGTTTGTTGCTTCTTTGAAGACCATGAAAATACCGTCGAACCAATGTGAAAAACATATTCGGAAGTACTCTTACCATCATCCATATCTCCACCATAGTCGCTATTTGAATAGCCAACCAATTTTGCATATTGTGAGTATGAGTAAAGCAAACCCTGATTCAACGTACCTTTGATGTATCTCAAAATTCTTTTAGCTGCAATGAAATGGTCTTGATTTGTATTCTCCATGTATCTACTGACTATGCCAACTGCATACATAATGTCTGGACCCGTAAAGGTCAAGTATCTTAGACTTCCCACCAAGCTTTTGAACAATGTTGAGTTTACAGGTTCTCTAAATGATTCAACACTTAGCTTCATTCCTGCTTCTGCTGGTGTGCTGACTGGTTTACAGTCTTCCATTCTGAACTTTTGTAAGATCTGTGTCGCATACCTCTTTTGCGACATAAATATTCCATTTTTGCTTTGATTTACTTCGACTCTAAGAAAGTATGACATTTGGCCAATATTTGTCATCTCAAATTCTGTAGTTATCACTTTCTTAAAGTCATTAAACATACCTAGACTGTTTCCGGTGAAGATCATGTCATCCACATACAAACATACAATCATAATATCTCCATTTTGATTTATTTTTGTATATAGTGAATGCTCGTATGGACTCTTCACAAATCCATCCTTCTGGAAGTGTTTATCTATTCTTGTGTTCCAAGCTCTCGGAGCTTGCTTCAAACCATATAAGGATTTCTTCAATCAACAGACTTTATTTTCTTGATCTTTTTGAACATAACCTTCAGGTTGCTCAATATAAACTTCCTCTTCAAGATATCCATTTAGGAATGCTGACTTCACATCCATTTGATAAATCTTCCATTGATTCTGAGCTGCTCTTGTTGTCAGAAGTCTGATTGTATCAACTCTTGCTATTGGAGCAAATACTTCATCATAATCAACTCCATATCTCTGCTTGTAGCCTTTTGCAACTAATCTTGCCTTGTACTTTTCCACTTTTCCTTTCTGATTGGTCTTTGTATTATAGACCCATTTGACACCACTTGCTTTGTGTCCCTTTGGAAGACTTGTAATCTCCCACGTATCATTTTCTTGATTGAGTTGATTTCTTCATCCATAGCCTTACTCCACTTGCTTTCTTCTCTAGCTTCTTCATATGTTACTGGATCATATTCAACCATTA